AATATCCATGTCCCACTAGTAGTTCCTTGAAAAAAGCATGATAATTATTTAAAAAGTTATAGTTAATTCTAGATCAACTGGCAGTCACAAGGAGGTAAGATGCTCTATTTAGAACATCCATGGTTAATATATAGACAAGCGATATGACAATAAAATCATAGAGAAATTTGTAATAATACGCGAAATTTTAAAGATGAGGTTGGAAAAAAATCAAGAATCCGGGCCGAAGGGTGAGCAGGTGCCTTGATTTGGAAATCATGTCTTTTTTACCCCAACTAATGAGGCCAAACTCGACATTTAAAGTCAGAAGGGCCGCTATGAAAAGTTACAGGCCTCTAGTGGAGGGATCAGCAAAATCTCCCTAACTGGTAAAATAATCTAATGAAAAAAAACTTAAAAACAACTTAATGCCAATCCATGAAATCTACCGGATTGCAGGATTCAATTCTAATCAGCTGCCGAGCAGATATGTTGCCGAGGGCGCGTCGAAAAAGAGTGTAGGGCACCTGACCGACAAAGTCGACTTGGTCGATATGGCGTTCGAGAACGGTCAAACATATGTCGAGCAAGTTGGAGGGTTGGCTGAAACCGAGACCTAGCTCATGTCCACCCAGATCTGAGTCCAAGCCAAATTCGGCTTGTGCAAGGCCCGAGGAACCGGGTGAGGAGCCGGAAGAACAGGCTAGTGATGATTCACCGAAGCGTTTGTGCTTCGACTTGGGGGCATAGAGGACACGCTTCGAATTGAACTTGAGATTGTCCGATAGAAAAGTCTCATCGAACTCTGGAGCTACCATAAGATAGGAACGGGGAAGAATTTAAGGGACTATAGTATAATACTTAATGCTTTCAGATAAAATAGATATCAATGAAAGAGAAAATATGAATAGTGAAAACTTAAATTCGGTTGTAATATATCCTAAGATTCAAGTGAAGGGCCTGATCAAGGACAGCCTGAATCAAATAGACACAAACTGGAGGCCTGGTTTACTAGCAGGGATTCAAGGCAAGGAGCTGTAGCCAGGGTTAATGCATATAGCACTAATCCAACAAAATAGGCTCTGTTTAAACACCAGAGGGATGAATGAAAAAAAAAATTGTTGAATTCTATAGCAACACACCAAATAGAAATAAGGTAATCTGAATGAAAATACCGGCAAGGAAATGAAAATCAAAGCAGTTAAAAGTGGTTGTGATCACTACAAGATCAAATAAATAAGTAAAAGGTTTTTGCTTCCCGTAAATGAATAAGAAATAAAAATGTTATTAAAGATATGAAGACCAAGATGTTGTGGCCTCTGGTATGGTCGCAGTCTCTATAAAAATGGTATGTTAGGCGAATGATACATTTGGGGAAGTGGGAGGCTCA